CTCCTCACTCCAATACTTCCAGGCCCTGATGAAACCCAGAGGTGAAGCTGCTCAATGATGAACTACTGATGCCTGACTGCTATAACCCACCCCTGAAAGCAGAGTAATTGAGGTTCTTGTTAACACTTGTTAACAGATCCCTTGGAGCAGATTAGTGTAAAATGGCACTGAATGACTGCTGTTTTATATATATATATATATATATATATATATATATATGGCAGCTTTATTTTAGAACAATTTAGTTGGAAAGGAAAGAAGGTATGTAGCCATTTTTGGTTTTATCTATAGAAATGAAAAAGTATAAAAGTATAAAGATATCACTTAAAAAAAAAAAACATAAGGAAAAGATGGAAAGAGAAAGAAAGGTTAAGAAGATGTTAAAGACATTGCCACCCATGCATCCAGCAATGAGACTTGGTTGTTACAGTTTCTGTGTCCAGTGTTCAAAACGTTGGTCTCATTCCTGATCCAACAGGGGTGAGGGAAGCTGATACAACATGATGTGCAATGTGTTCAGGGATGGGAGCAGCCAGGTACCTCACTTGGGGCAGAGGGGTTTACAATATTTGATGTAGCATTGGATCATGGGTGGTTCTCTGGTGAATGGCCCCAGAAATGAGTCTGGGGGTACTTCAGGGGTCCTTGATGTTTATGACACCTGCTAAGACATGACAGATGCCTCTCACACCAGTCAGCATTGTTGAGTGAGTTATGTCACACCTGAAGGGATGAATTCCTTCAGGCCTATGTGTGAATGTGAATGCCTGGACACCTTTCCCAGAGAGGGGTGGCGGGGAGGTTTTGCACCTGAGCCAGTTGTGTAAAGAAGGACATTAGCATGATAAAAAGCATCATCTCACTTCTGAGATCTCCTTATCAGCCTTACCTGGCTAACAACCCAGCCTTTTGCTAACCAAATATCCCATGAGGCCATCCTCATTGATGGAAGTCTTCATCTGCCCTGTTCTGACACAGATCAGAGCACTCAAACACTCTCCTCCTCCCCTTGGTTTGCGTGTGTGTGTGTGTGTGTGTGTGTGTGTGTGTGTGTGTGTGTGTGTGTGTGCAAACCTGGTCTCAGCAAAGCACCTGCTGCTTCTGCAAATGGCTGATTGCTTGAGTCATTAACCCTTGTCATCCCAGTCTCTCACACTGGCCCATGGCTTGTTCTCTTCATGCTTCCCCCAGGTCAGATACTCCTTTCCTGGGCAGAAGCTGGACCTGACCCTGGAGACATTCTGTTTGCTTGGCTATCAGGGCAGTGTGATAGCTTGGCATCATGGCTCTCAGCAGCTGCTGACAAAAACAGCTGTGACACAGCAGTTCTGCCCAGTGAGTCATTTGTATGTTGTATTCTATCCACTCTTCTATTGCTCATTGAACTCTATCATGCATCCTGAATGCAAATTTAGTTGTTTATCTGTAGACTAAACATGCATTGATATTCTCATTATTAGCAGCACCACATTTTGCAGTCATTCAACATATCTTTAAATGAGGTATTTTTTTTCTTTCTCCTTTTAAATACTTTTTTCATATAACACTGGTGTTTTCTGCAGACAATCTGCTTTGGAGTCAGTTACCTAACATAACTAGTTCCATGCTATTTAGTTGCACAGCTACAATGATTTGAGATCAATTCTTTCAGGCTGACATAACATTTCATTATCTTGGAGAATAATTTTGATTTGCTTTTCAGAAGAAATCTTTTTAGAGTGCTTTTCCCCCTTAAATAAGTAAAGGAAGCAGTGCCTCTACTAAGGTAGACATGCTTAATATGGGTCTGTAAGTACTCAATAACTAGCTATAAACAGAAGTGTACTATTTTGAAATTTATTAAAACCATTTTACTTTGTTTTCATTCATTGTTGATACCAAAGGAAAAATATTATTTTATTCTTTTTATTCTGAATTCTAGGAAATTTTTAACATTGAGGGATTTGAGATTCTCTGTGTCTCCTTAAAGACCTGTGAAACTCCATTAAGTGTTAGTTTTTCCTTTTTGTGCTATGTGGAATGTTTACTTGTCCTTTCAAAGCGCTCTTCCCTTCCTAATATCAAGACCATTTCTATGACTCTGGTGCTACTGGTATCAGGTGACTTTTGATATACTCTTGATCTTATTTAAAGAGGAGCTTAGAACCATAAAGTCTTTACAATGCCAAAGGGAACACCATTTGTTTCAGGGAATTCACATTTAAATGCATAAATGCAGTTTAAAGATTTGAATTTTAAACACACATGAGAGAAAAGTTTTGTATAACTCTGCATACAATCTCTCTCGTGAGTAAAAAAATGCACCTATTTTACCTACAGTCCTTTTTTTTTTTTTTTTGTAACAATAAGTGTCAAAAATATCTTGGGTTTTTTTCATGAAACAAACATAAACACTCTCTGAGATGTTTAAAAAAAAAAAAATATTCTGTTCTGTTCTGTCACCTGATTTTATTTGCTTTTAAACTCCTACCAGACTTTAAGCATGAGCTGTAGTTCAAGGAAGTGTTAGGGGAAAATATTATATGAACTATTAATGTTTTTGTCTATATTTAATTAAGGATGTCTTGAATAATCTAACCATAAGAAGTATTTTTTGTTGTTAAACAATATCCTTCAAGGTGAAGCCTGAATTAATTAGGAATATAATCAAGTTTTATACCTTTTTCACTATTCAGTCTGTAACTCTCTTAGGCTCTACAAACAATTCATTATAATTCAGCAATATAAAAGGTATAAAAGGTCTTGAAGGTTGTTGGGTTATTTTATTCAACTCCTCTATCTTTTAAAAGAAATTCATGTTCATAAAACTTAACATGTTTCTTGCTGTCTGGAATTAAATTCTTCTGACAGTTATTTTAAGAAGTAAGAGCTAAAATTAAAGATTTAAAATTAAGTTTATAAATTAAGATATAATAAAAAATTTGGAAAAATAATAAAATTCAAAAACATTTGATAAATTCATGTTAACAACCTTAATGTAGATGAAGAAATAAAAATTATGCAATATTTTGCTTTTCATTATTTTGACATGAATTTAGATCTAGTTAACTAATTATGGGTTATACTGGATCATACTGATTTTTTTCCAAAAATCTAACTACTTTAGATTTAGCCAATGCTTCAACCCTTACCTTTTCAAAAATGACTTGGCTCCTTGAATTTGGATTCAATGGATAGTGAAATAGGAAAATTAAACCTTACTCTTCTATTTAACCTTTTTGGACACTGGGTAAAATTATATCTGGTCAGAACATGCTATAGAAAGTGGTTATGGTTAACAGTGATAATATTTTCCCAAAAGTTCTCTTTGTTTGTATATCATACCTGATGGTGGTCATTGGCAAAAATATGAAACAAAACAAAAGCAAAAAACCCAAACAAATTGATTTTAAGAGATATGTTCCCTCTATCTTATGTGATACTTTGAAACCCTCAGTTTTCTTTGGATAAAAAGACAATTCTAGCCCCAGAGCTGGAGAACTGAAGGTCTGATTAGGGCCTTTCAATGCTAAAAATGCTACAATTCATTTTACGACAGCCATTTGCTCTAGGAGAGTAGCAGAAAATGCAGGAATAACAGCCTGGTATATCCTCAAGTACGATAAACTGCAAGTCATCAGTGATTCCCTTTTCCCTCTGTGCAATCAGAAACCTTCCATCCAGGAGAGGTCAGCAGCCATACTATAGCTTCTTGGTTAACTAGCAAATTTCCAACCTTTGCCACATCCTTACAGCCTGTCTTCTGGGAGCTGCTGACAAATTTCTGAACAGGAGCAGGGAATCCTGATATCACCTACTAGGATTGTGAGACATGCCCAGCTCTCAAAGTTAATCTTAGGCTCTCTGGAGACTCACATGTATTCAGATGCACTTGTGTTTGAAAGCTGCTGTTACTTTAAAATGAGAGGAGTTTATACAGCAATTACAGGATTTGAAGAGCTTTTGTGCTGAGATAAATCTATTTTTTTTCTTTCACTTCATGTAAACATCATGATGAATATATTGTTTTCCCCTGTTGCTTATCAAAGTTTATGAATTGACAAATTTTAATCAAATAAATTGTGAATTCACAGGTTCAAAGCAGAAGTAACTTCCTAGCTTATATGCTTATTGAATACATATGTTTATTGAATGCATTAATTAGCAAAAAATCACCTTTAATTCAGGATTCTTACAGAAGAGAGAGTTATGCATGTATGGGGGGTGTGTGTATGTGTGTGTTACCTGCAGAGCTTTGCATTCCGTTTCCATTTATGATTTTTAATCTTTGGAAATTTCAAATCCAATTTCTTAGAAGAGTACTGATGCCACAGATATAAATTTCACACATATTTTGAGAAAATAGTTGGCCAATGGATGAGGAAAACAGACCCCATAAAGAAAATAATTTGTTAGGTATCTGAAAAATTCAAGTTGGACTTATTACTGAACACTGACAATTTCCAGGACGAAAACCACCATATCTGCCAACCTAGATGAGAAAAGCACTAAAGCCAAACCTTCTATTTGCAATGCAATCCTTCAGTTCTTAATTTGCCTTTCCAAAAAAAGAGAAGAAATCCTTTTTCCTCTCCAAGCATAAGGTCTGGTGTCCGTCTCCTGCCAGGAGAGCTCTGCCACTGTCTTGGAATTTCCAGCCTCAAACTTCATTTTGGAGATCATGTTTTCATTCTTTAAGTATTAGTAACATGATATCAACATTTATTTTGTCTACACATCAAAAAGTATTTCTGTTAAGTGCATTTAGAACATTTTTTTTCCCGTGTACTTTTTTATACTTTGCTAAACACTAAGATGTTTTATTATGATGATCATAATGTGCACAAATATGAAACATTGAGCTATACTTATAAAACAAATATATTTTAGTAATAAATTTTTTTTCTAAACACTTTCAGAGTTTCACAGCAGTTCCAATCTCTCAGGGACTTTTACTTCCAAAAGAAGAAATTTCAGGAAAAAAATTAGTGAAATAAAAAAGCTGAGAAGAATGTTGAAATTAAAAGACAATAAAAGTCTTTGATTCTGTGATATATCTGTTTAAAAGATGAGGTGTTTATGCAAAATACAGAAGCTAAATGTTCTAATTCCAAAACTTTTCACAGCTCTTATCAAAATACAATGCACAGGCTTTACCTAACAATTCACCTTTTCTTACTCAGATGGACTATGGGAGTAAAAGGTGCAACATGATCCTTAATTGCTGCCATTTATTTGAATTCCTTATATTAAAATAAATTGGCTCTATTCCTGGCTCATGTTCTCAGAGAAGCTAATTTGAGTAACAAATTATCTTCACAGCAAATCCCAGTGCTTACAGGTAGCTTAGATTTGTATGTGGGGGTTTTTGTATAAGAAAATTTTCCAAATAATTTTGTGAAATAATTTAATCAATATGCACACAGTGATTTAAGTTTATGTCCACTACCCCATTATTTCAAAAGGTCACTTGTTTATGACTGTGTGTATACAAGGCACTATTACAGTTATGGCTATTATTAATAATGGTATTTAATCCAATTCAATTTTATGAGTGGAACACTTCTACTGGCTTTGGCTATCATGCAGCTCTGATCAGCAATTACTAGAGTTATCTTTGTATTTATTTTTGCATTATTGTCCCATGCTTATACATTTCCCTCCCCCTACTTCTTCACTTTATTTGTTTACCTTAAAGATCGTTTTACAAAGTAAATCAATAATTTCACAGTTCTCATTGATCTCATCTATTAATGGCTTTACTGCACCATTTTATTCTCATCTACTTTTTTTTTTTTCCCAGTTTATGCATAGATTTTTATGCAGACCAGTCCCTGCAAACCTGTGCAAAATGAGATAACTTTGCTGAATCAAAACAGTACTGTAAAAGACTACTCATAAGTGCAGGATCCTATCAGTGCTTTTGGAAAATGTGTGGGTATTGATGTGAAAACCAAAATAGGTATGTTGAAAACCCACATATGAAGCTTCTGCAGGACATTTCTAGAGCCAGGAAAAACATTCATCAGCATTTTCTCTCAAACACTACCAGCAGTACCACAAGAAACGACAGCTCTAAGGACAGACATTCCATTGCTGAATATGTATTGAATGATGTGTCTGCTACTACCATCCATTCTCCTGACAATCTACTAGGAATTTGGTGCACTGCCTGAAAACCTTCCAGGAAATCTGAGAGGGTTAATTCTTAAGTCACATATTTGATGCCTATGGGAAGTGTTGTTTGCCCTTCTGATGAATCTTACTCAGCTTTCTTGCTTGGAGAAGTTCAACACCTCTGTGTTCAGCAAATAATTTTCTTTTAAGACTAAAAGATGATGTGTGTGTTTTAAACATTTTACTCAAGCAACTTTCCAAGAAGCATTAGTTTCTTGAGAAGCTGAATTTATCTGATATAAAGGCTATTCAATTTTTATGAAATAAAAGCAAATTTAGTCATCAAGGTCAATTAATTTGATCAACATTCCAAGTCCTTCAAGGAAAAGGAGTGTTTAAATTCTACTTTCCTCTGTGCTCTGAAAAATTTTAAAATACCCAGTACTGTGACTAAATTGAATAAGCCTAAACAAATAATCCAGTATAGTATTCTGCATGATAAGAACAATTGGTTGCATCATTGTGTAACCTCTGGAATGGTTTCACTCTTTAAATGTGACTTTTATGGGATTTTTGAACCTTAGGCATAGCTGGTAAGTCACGTAGCTCTGGGAGGTCTTATGAAGCCCCTGTATGAAATAGTCATGTTGTTTCAATGATGAAAATAGAAGGAGTTTATGAACAATAAACAAATTCATTTTAGAAAATAGAAAGCTTTTTAGGAAGCAGTGGTAGCTGCTACCAGTGTAAATAAATATAAAGCAATCATCTGCATTGTTTGTTTTTGTAGATCACACCTTAAAACCCCCAAGCTGTCTCTTGTAGAAAAAGTATAGGTTGTGTACAGCTAAAATTAGCAGAATGTAAAAGTATGGAGCTTTTTCTTGGTTTGATTGGGTGGTTTTTAAATTTAGTATGTTGTAGAATATTACTAAATGTGATGTACATATTCTTTAAATAACTGGCCTCTGTTCTGCCTGCCTCTCACATATACTGGAAGATGTATAAAATAATCTGGGGGGAGGAAAAATAATCTGCAGGGAGGAAAATGTCTCTTTGCCTACATCCAACCCAAGTGTTAAAGAATGTCTTCAGTCCAAGGTAAGAGAGAGCAAAATGACATTACCTAGATTATATAAAAACACTGTTAAAACACAGAACAGATATTTAATGAGATATTTTTAAATCCCAGTGCTTACATTCAAAGAAAATTTAAAATTGTAATTTTGTTACTACTCTGAAAATTAAACACAAATGACAGAGTTCCTAGTTTTAGGAAAATTGTGCTATTCTTAAATAATTACTGACTTCAGAGACCAAGAGTTACTTCAGTGAAAACTAGTAAATAGAAATAAGTACTATATAAAAACGGGTAAGCTGCACTAAAAAAAATTCAACATGAGATTTCCCCTCTAAATATAAAATCTCTTAATCTTTAATACTGCTGTCAAAACTCCTGAAATATTTTCTTACTTTGTTGTTTTTCCATTTTCTTTGCTTACAAAACAATGGAACACCAAAGGAAGCCATCTTTATAGAAAATTAATACCTATACTGCAGAGTAATAAGTTTGTGCATTGACAAAACCATGTTAATCAGGTTAATATTGACTATAGAGATAAAATATTAATATAGAATAATGTAGTGCATAAAAACCAAAGTGTTAGTAGAATTACTTGTATATCTTCATTAATTTTTTTTACTTGTTTAGCAAAATAAAAAATTACTCAGAAAGTGAAACCTATGAAACATCAGGTATTTGGATGCATCCCAAATATCCAAACTTCACTTGCTAATTAACTAATGATATTTAACCTGCTCTTTTAGTTACCATGCCTTTAGCTAGGCATCCAGCATGTCCAGTGATTTATCTTCCTGCCTCTGCACGATGTCCTGCTGTTACAATGCTGCCTCCTGCTGTCACAGCAAACGCACAGAAGCTGTTTCACCTCTGAGGATAATTACAGGATTTCAGTCTCTAGAGCAACTAATCAATGTTCTTCTAGTTTTCTGGTAAACCCAATCTTCCTTAACAGAAGAAAAAAAAAAAAAAAAAGGAAAATAATTGAAAAGTATAAAAAGAAAAATTTCTTTTCATGCAGTAGTTTCAGAACATTATATTAGGAACAACCAGTTTAATAATTCTGGAAGAGCTGATATTGGACATAATGGATTGTTATGTAAAACACTGTGGTTTTCTTAATTGTTTATCACTGCACTGTATGTACACACATGCTGGTATAAAATCCCAGACCAACGATATATCTTGATTGTTGTATCTCTCTTATTCTGAAAAAGTCCTATCATTATCCAATTTTTAATGTAATATTAAAGTGCAAATCCAAATTTTTGTGCTATATCCCGTGCTACAAAATTGGTTCACATTTTTCCTATAAATAATATGAAATTAAGATATGTTGATTTACACCTTTCCATATAATCTCAAGTTTAGTATCTTCCATTATGCTTATTCACATGAGTAATACTGTAGTGCTTACGTTCATGAATGCTGGTGCTCAGTGTTGGCAGCACCAAATATTACCAGTGCCTGCAGAAAACAGATTATCTCACCTGACTAAACCAGAGATATCCTTTTTCCAGGTCACAGTTTTCAAAGGAGCAGAAAAGGCAGAATTAAATGAAAGAAGAAAAATAATTATATTAGATCAGGGAAGGTAATGACTCCCTTTCTTTCTACTTGCTTTCCTCATGGATTATAGAAGTAAGAATAGGATGTGCTCTCTTCCCTTTTCCCATCTCTGATTTTGTGTTACCTCTTTGGCAGATCACATCTCTTTTATTCATTCCATGAGTGGATTTGGGGAATAAGGTGGCTAGGTTTCTATTGAGGGACATTGTCAGTTATAGGAAGAGGAGAGGTAATGAGGATATTGTGATTTACTCCGTTAGCAAAAGAGAACCTCTGGTTCTCAGATGATCTTGGAAGCCAAAAATTCTCCAGTTCTGTTGGAAAGGAGTTAAATAACAAAGGTGAAATGGTCAAACTGCTAGACTTCAGCAAGATTTGTCACAGTTGATGATTCAGTCAAAGATCCATTCAATTGTCTAAAAGAAGGTTTCCATGTTTGAGTTCCCCTAAATATCTAAAACAGTTTTATGGGACCCAAATTTTGGAAATTCAGACAATTTCAGAGATTTAACAGGATACCTGGGTCATCCCCAAGCAGGATAAATGTTTCCAATCAGGCAAGAGAATCAAGTCCTTAATGCTTAATTGCATGTCTTGTAAATCAAGAAGTTCAATGGTCTGTGATATGCACACCATCCCTCAGATTCTGAGCATCCAAATGAAAATATAAATACTATTCCTTTTTTATGACATCAACTTAATATAAAAAACCTCACCAGGTTTGTGTTGAAAACATTCTCTTCTGCCTTCCATTCCATATGCATCAACGCTGTGACCTATATCCTTACTACCTTGGGGAAAAAAAATACTTTTCCTTAGGAGAACATACTTGATTTTAAAAATCTAACTTCAGGCAACTAAGTTGTAATTTAAAAAATAATCCCAGTGAAATTTTCTATATCCTATTCCCAAGATGCAAACTAGAAGATTCCAATAAGGAAATTATTTGAGAAAGGTAGAAACAGGTTAGACCTTAAAAATTTTGTGGAAGAAACCCAGCTTGTTGCAAGTGATACAGGTGAAGTAGAATTGTTCAAACTGAACATTTTTGTTAGTCCCAAAACTACCTTGTGGACAAAAAGAAATACAGCAAATAGCTGGAGTGAGCAGGATCTTCCCAGGATTTCTATTAGGAAATGTACAAAGTTCATGGTTCCTCCTCAGTTTTGGGCTTTTTTTGGTGCCTCACATTACCACACCTGGCTTCCTTCTTACTGGCTCCCAGCCCTGCTTGTGGTGCCACCTTGCCCAGTTCCAGGGGACTTCATGGGTGACTGCCAATCCTATGGTGGCTGCCAAGTTTATCTGATCTTGTTTATCTGTGACCACCACAAAGGTTGAGCTCAGGACAATGGTCCCGTGGCCACCTGTTTGCTGTCAGAGCAAGCTGACAGCAGCTCTGGCCCAGGGAAGCTCTGCCACAGGCCTAGGAACTGCCTTGGCAGCCCAAGTTGATACCTGATGCCATTTACTGGTGTCAGAACTCCATTTTCTGACCAACCAGCAAGTTAAACTGTTCGGTTACAAATTTAGTTTTGAATTTTCTTTAAATATAGAGCTCTCTGGGCACAGTTTAATGATGTGTCTCTGAAGATACATCAACAATAACAAATGTTGGTGCTGCCTGCATGTATTTGCACTCTTTTGACAGAAACTTCATCTTGCTGAAGTCTGAACTGATTGCTGACCTCTTCTGTAATGCTCTGCTGCCTCTCTATTCCTGCCTGCATTGCACTCTTTCTTATACAGAAAGATTATTTAAGCCTAACTTGCTATGCATGCTCTTTTTCAAACCAATGGTTTGGTAAGTGATTTCAGCATCAAAACCACAATGCTGCAGATTACTGAAATGCACAAAGCTTATTCTTGACCCGTTCATACACATATGGTATGTGGGATACAGATACACATTGGTCTGTGGGATACAGATGGCCATATATGTGGACCTTCTAGCAATAACACACAAGAATGCAGTGACCTGAGCTGTCACATTTAGTATGAGAGTTTGTGATAGATTGGCATTTAAGAAAACAAAGAGAAACACCTAAAGGAGTTAAAACTGCTGGAGGCTGATGGGAGTTTGTCTCCTAACCAACAGCTGGCCATTTCTAAGAATTGACGGCAGTTTTAACCATTGAAAAGTGAGATCAACCTGTGAACATCACCTTAAGACCTAAGCCTGTGAATTTCTTTGTCTCTTTGTTCCCTGGCTGTGAAAGGTAACAGAGCTCCAGGCCTCCCGTTCCCTGCCTGGCCATGAGGCCCTGGCGGGGGCTGGGCTGGGCCTGCTGCGGCTCCCGGCCGGGAGATGGGGCCTGCGGGGCTTCCCTGGGCTCTGGCCGGGCCAGGCCGGTCCCTGGCTCGGCTGCAGTTTCTGCTGTGACTGAATTCACCAGAGACTGTAAAGAAAGAAAAAAGCTCTTGACCTGTGGCGTGCTGAGACAGTGACCACACTCTCCAGAGCAGCCATGAAGAATCTTCCGTTGCAGACAGCTCCAGCTGCTGCTCCGGCAGAGATCACAGAACCATCTACAAAGCCTGGGCAAGATTTTAACCTTTTCATTACCCAGATGAGACTTGCAGATTAATCTTTTTATCCAGAGAAAGAAAAAGAGAGTAATCAACATGTAAAGAGACTTTATAAAACTATCAGAGACAGTAAAGAAAAGAATTAAGGTTCAGAAAAGGTAGAGAATAAGGAAATGCTTTAATTAAGCTGAAATATTTTTCTGTTAAAGCTATGGAGATGGACAATAATGTTCTGAAAAAAACTCCCTTAATTCATGACAGAGTATATGGGGAGGAATGGAGTATTCAAAGTTTGGATTTTGAGCAAAAGGTGGGGTAATTATGATACAGTGAGGTGCTGGAACAGAAGGGGAGAAGTAATAGTTGAAGATTTGGGGCCACTTGAGACAAAGAGAAAACTTCTGTTTCCAGGGAAGCTCACAGAGACAGATGAAGAGGACTTTTGCCTTTGAATAACTCATCCTTAAAAATGACATCCCTAGACTCATTTGACCCATACACACCTCAGAGTGATGTGAAATGGGAGGAGTGAACTGATGACAGGATTTCTGGGCAGCTGGCATCAGAGAAACAGAAAGCTATAACAGAAATAGTTTTCTTGTGAGAAATTCCATAGATTAGCAGAGGAAGATTTCTGTTTCTCTACAGAGACTGATGAAAAGATTTTAGCAGGAACTGTTTAAACACCAAAGTTCCAAAGTGTGTTGTCTCTATGTTGTCATGTAAACAAAAGAATGGTTGGGTAGTGGGGGATAAAAGGGTTTTCTGGAAGGGTTTTCTTTTCGTTTTAGTTTTCTTTTTCTTGTAGTTTTGTTAATAAACTTTCTTTATTCCTTTTAAGTTTTAAGCCTGTTTTGCTCTTGTTCTAATCCACATCTCACAGCAAGAAATAAGTAAGTTTTCTAGTTTTTTTAGTTACTGCTTTAAAACCACAACAGAGCTCTTTCCCCTCTGGTAGACATTTTGAAAGCTTGTGATCATTTAGAATTTTACTGAGCAAGAGACAAGGAAGTATGTGAAAAAACACACTGTAGAGACGTTTGTTATTCAAGGTGATGTAAATAGATGCTGTAAAAAAGAATATGCATTGCTGTTGAATTTTAAAAATTACACCCTTATATATATTCATCTTCCAAAATGGAGGAAAAGAGATTAAGGAAACGAATGTTTTTCAAGCTAGACACCAAGTCAAGTTTCATTTTTTAAAATAATTTGTGAATTCTGTCAAGATATATAGAGCAATAAATGAAACTGTCTTGTGCTCCTGTTAATCTGGAATGATGCAAAACCTTGAGAAAAGAGTACAGTGTAGTAATTTATACAGAGAAAAGGAGAGGTATTTAACTGAAAGAGTGAGCAGCTGTTATAATTGATGGTAAGTATTGGTACTTTTTAACCTCTGACATGACCTTAGTTTATGAAAATGTCTTCTGGTCTCCCCTTCTGATGCTACTACTGGTCACACAACAAAATAAAAAGCATACTGAAGAAGACAAAGAAAGCATGTAGGTAGAAATTTAGGACAGGCTGATTCCTATATGATGCAAGTATTAAACCGAGATAGGGCGAGGATCCCTTTTCCTTGACAATTCCCTACATAATTGTTCTAACTCTGCTGAATGTAAGGACAGCTCTGTATACATAAGTAGGTGAAGAAGCAGACAGTGCTCTTACTCTCCAAGAAAGGGTTTTTCCCTTGTTTTCCAAGTAAGCAAAAACCCCAAAGATGGAAATTTGAGGCTGCACCAATAGGAATGTTTCTGCCTGACTTGTTTACCAGCAGTCCTGGTTTACCTGGAGGGAGGGGTGTTAGCAAATACAGGGTTGTGGGAACAGTGCCCAACAACTAGCATCTTAACCAAGATTAGATAAAGAGATCATTGACCCTAGAGGCTCTGCTAATCTGTGCCTGTGATTGAAGGTGCTGTGGGAAAACTATTTTGGTGGAAAATCTACCATATGTCTGTGACTTTCTGTGATTGAAAACAATCACATGCATGGAATGCTTGAGACACTTAGTGTGTTACAAAATTAGCAGAGACCCTAGGGACCAATCAGAAGGCAGTGGTTTATCTATAATGAAATTAAAATAGAAGGAAGCTCACATGGGAAAAAGAGAGAGAAAAAACAACACCTGGATAGCTCAAAATTATAATATCACTGTGGTTTTTTTCCAATAACTGATGTATTTATTTTTTACTGTTAGAATTATCTTTACATTTGATCTCAGCCCCAACATAAAATATATCTGTAGAAGAAGGTTTCTAAGGAGAATCCAGGGAACTACAGTCCTGTCAGCCTGACCTTGCTGTTGGGGAAAGTCATGGTGCTGGTCACCTTGAGTGCCATCACATGGCACTTGCAGGAAAACAGGGGATCAGGCCAAGCCAAAGTGCATTATGAAACACATGTCCTGCTTGACCCTCCTGAAATTAAATAAAAAGAAACATTTCCTCATAAACAGGATTGAAAAGTATTGTAACAGGGTGCTTAGGAAAGTGGTGGAGTCAGAATCCCTGGAAGTGTTCAAAAAATGTGTGTATGTTGGCAACCTAAACCCCTCATGGTACAGCTTGAGACCATTGTCTCTTCTCCTATTACTAGCTGCCTGGGAGAAGAGGCCAAATTGCTATGACCTCCTTTCAGGTAGTCTGTCTTGGGTTACATTTGTCTCACTTTGCTATTTGCCTTTTCATGACAACATTATTACTATTGTTGTTGTTATTATTATATTTTAATTATTAAGAATTCCTTGTCTTAACCAATAGGATTTCTCACTTCTGCACTCTAAATTTTCTTCCCCCATTCCTCTGAGTGTGGGTTGAACAAGTGGCTGTGTGGTGTGGCTTAGTTGCCAGCTGGAGTTAAACCAAGGCAGTACTAACCTGTTAGTGGGTTTTCCTCCTCAACTGAAGCATAGCACAAAGCACTAGCGAGCTGCCTTGCTAGCTACTCTCTTGAGGCATGTAATATGATCTGTACAGAGACTGTGCAATTACTGTGTATCGAAGCTAATGTGACTTTTTTATAATTTAAATCATACATATTTTTAAGAAAATAATATATTTACAGTAAAATGGATTTGGTTAGGCATCAAAAAAACCCTTTATTTGTGAAATTTAAATTAAATATGATCATGTATTGTAAAAGTACAGGAAAAAAACTTTGAAAACATGAGAAACAGAGGAGCAAATTCTTGGAATTCTGGTACAGACATTAACCATATATTTATACTTTCAAAGAACAACTTATGATTTTAAAAATAAACTCAAACTGAATTATATTGATGTGTTTAAGTTCTTTCTAATATGTGTGTAAATGTTGAATGTAGTTTGCTGTAAACAAAATCTAGGATATGTAACCCTCTGCAGGTTAATTAACATTTATGTGTTAATATCTTGTGATAGGAAGAAATGTAATTTAAAAGAAAAAAAATTAGCAATCAGTGGAAAAGATGTTGCATAATTTATAGGAAATAAAGCTTTATTCACTTCTTCTTACTAAAGATAAACTATTGTATTTTTTCATCCCAGGAACAAAACCACTGATTTTTAAAGTCTAACATAATTCAAGCCTCCTACCTATACATTGAAACTGCCTATTTATAGATAGAAGAATTAGAAGAGAAATATATCTCTAGAAAAGAACAAATGTGTTAAAAGTTATATCATAAAGTATGCTGAGCCTTACAACAGGACATCAAGAGAATAAATGGTTAGAATAAACATTTATCTTTTGTTCCAAAGCACAGCTTAACTTTCCTTGCTCACAAATGGTGTTCTTAATGAGAGTAATAATTCTCTTTAGATGGGAGACAAAGTTCATGTTTAAAACTATGCAATTCAATCTGGAGCTACCATGTAAATTAGTTGCCTGACAGAACTGGCAAAGATAAGGTATTTATTGTAAAAAACCTGGAAACATGAGTAGGATGCAAGAGACAATCAGAGGGGTAATAGTTTAAGAACTTGTGGGTAGAGATAAAGACAGTTTAACCAGTATAACAAAAGCTGTGTGTGCAAGCAAAGGAATTGGGTCACCTCTTCCCATGGACAAGCAGGGGTCCTGACAGGATCCCCAGGAAAGCAGGATTACTTGGGAATGACAGAATCACAGAATCAAGTCCAACCTATGACCCAACACCACCCTGTCCACTAGACCATGTCACTTGGTGCCAAGTCCAGTTGTTCCTTAAACTCCTCCAGGCACGGTGACTCCACCACCTCCCTGGGCAGTCCATTTCAATACCTAATTACCCTTTTTTTTGAAAAATTCTTCCTTAAACCTCCTCTGGTGCAGCTTAAGATTTTCTCCTCTCATCCTATTGACTGTTTCCTGTGAGAAGAGGCTGGCCTCCACCTGGCTTCACCCTCCTTTCAGGTAGGTGTAAAGAGCAATAAGGTCACTCTTGAGCCTCCTCTTCTCCAGGAAGAGAAATGTCATAGCTGCAAATGTCCTCTCCCTTCCTTCTTCTGCCCTCAGATTTATGTTTTATATTTTGAGTGTGACAGCAGATGGTCTGGGATATCCCTAGGATCATTTGCTGTCATCTGTCCTGGTTGTTTCCCCTCCAAATACATAATTCAGAGTGACATGAAACATAGTGTTCATTATTTTTGAAATCCTTCTTATCATTTGTCCCTTTAAGTAGATTTTTATGCTCTACTAGATATGTAGAGACCAGATGACTATGGAATAAATTTGAGGTGTGGGCAGACAACTTGTAAAGAGGTTGTCTTTGCAATATCAG